AAGGCTTGGTTGGCCCGGGCGACTCACGACCCAGGATTTGATCCCCGGACCGCTCGCGTGGTGAGCGTGCCACTTGCCACTACATCCGCCCTGACTATCCTAGTAGCAAAAAAAACTACTAAGAGTCACTTATCCCTTCCTTGACCAAATCTACGAGACGAAGTGTCATATGACATCTACTGGCAGCGTAGGAAATGATCAAGAAATTCATGCTCGGGGCCCTGAAGTAGCGTCGAAGAGTATTTCTCCAGGAGAGTACTGCATAGGAGTTGAAAGCAGTTAAGTCCCGTGTTTATTTTGCAACTCCAACTCATTCGATTGCTTGTCACGTCAAGAAGCAAATTAAAGTCACATCGAGGAAAACAAAATGACGCGAAAGCACGACAACATCTTCAAAATAGCTGCCCCGAAGGCTCTGACCATGGAGAAGTCGCCCACGCAATCTCCATATCATCCGCCTAGGGTTTATGTGTCACACACAAAGGTATGAGCAGATCACCTGCTCGTCTACCGGGTCATTTTCCCTATCTGCTTAGAAATGCGCCATGCATTCGATCTGCATTCAAAATCGTGGAGAACTTGGATCGCATTTGAGCTATACAATAAGTTGCTGGTTTTTAGGTCAGACTAAGTGCTCTCACTTGCCCAAATTTATACGATACCAATTGGTCATCCTCAGAGGGAAGGGGCACATGGTCGGGCCAAGTGGGATTTGATCCGAAATTTGATACCTCGACATCAATTTTGGCCTTCCCACATTTCACCGTGAGAAAATACGGATGCCGGGATTATCTCAGAGCTTCTTGGGTTACCACTGCTAAGTCAGGGATCTCCCTCTCCATCAGTTTGGGAAAAATACAGGAGGTTCAATGTGGCGCTCAGAGAGCTGGTTCTACAGGAATTTCGCCACTGAGCGGTCACGTGCTGTGCAGAAAACAAGTAACAGTGCAGTAGCACCTATAAAAGTACACCACATGCCTTTCTTAAGCAGCAGATTATCCGAAAGGGTAAGGTATTGAGACAGAGAAACATAGCACAAGATAATGGACTCACCAGAATATCACCAGTATCATTCTCCTGCAGAACAAGAGCTCGTCCACATTTGGCGTTTTGCCAGCTGAGAACCACTTTCAGTGGACAGACATCGTCCGATATCCGGGTCATTTTTCCTGAAATTGTTAGATGTGTAGTAGATCCCTTACGATTAGGCCAAAGCGAAACGTAAAGCGGCCTAGTCGATGGAGCCGCTGAGGCAATAATGTGTGAGCGTGGCGTGCGAACATGTCATGAGATAATTGCCAATAATCGGCTTGAATTTGATGGTTGGCCACTTGTTACACTTGATGGTTGCCCCACACACTCTCATTTTCTCCCGTCACAAGGTGATTTGTGTTCCTTTGCACTAGTAATTACAGCTCAGTCCCCTGAGAAATTACGCTAACCGAAAGCGCAATACCAACTAAGGAGGGTCTACGATGAGTTCGAAGGTCGAAGAAGGAGAAACTCAACCAGTGGGGAGACAGGCGAAGCTCCTAAGCGTGCGAATTGACACTACACAGGTTCGCCAGAGCGACAGAATTATGCTACGTGTCCTGATGCTTAGGAGCGACCCCGGCGATCCAGCAATGACCCTTATCCCGCACCAGCTATCGACACCGCAACACCTACCGACCCTGCTTAACCACTCCCCGCAAGTATCCGAGCGCACGATGAGAGTTTGAAATTGAACGCACAATTAAACCAAACGGTCGTGGTGACAGAAATTTGATGGCTCACAAGACTTCTACTTCCGACCTTAGTGAAAGTTGATAGGAGGCTATCATCGTTCCTCAGCAATCTATGCTGCTTTCTACGATGACTTGAGGCCAAATTGTACTAAGGACCGGAGCAAGCCTCACACAAAGACGTTATCATACAACTTCAGGAGGTCCATTATAAAGACGCCCGCAGGTTCTTCTCTTCCATTACTGAGAAACTACCACCAAGCACACTGGCTCTAACCTTAGAGGGCGTAATACTAGAGCTGTACAAGGGAAACAGGAAGAGGAGTTAGAGGCAAGTAGTTGATCAAAACAAACTTTCAAAGCTTGTTTTTCATAGTTAGCTTGAGGTAAAACGGTGGCCCCGCTAAGTAACTTGTAGCGCTTCCTGCCGCTAAGGAGCGAGTTAGAGGTACGTGACGTAAGTAGGTAGGGTAACGTAGGGTAACATAAAAAGGTAACGCAAGTAGGTGTACGGTAATGTAGGGTAACGTCATACGGTAACGTAAGGCAGGGTAGGGTAACGTAGGGTAATTTATACGGGTTCTAGGTCGCTGCTGAGAGTCGAGTTTTATCATAATCTCAGTAATGACATTGGTGTGGAGTCTTCCAGCTGCTTTTGATGATACTATGCGCCAAAGGCCCAATATGATAGAGTAATTAGTTTTCCAGTCCAATTTCCGCTTTTTGTTTCAAAATCTCGCCACCACATCTTATGCACCCCGTAGAGCTGAGCACCACCACGTGTCAAAAAGGTGTCGCTCATCAATACGAAGAGAGTTGCGTTATTAAGAATTCCATTGGGACGCGTGCATATTTTTATCGGACGCTTTTCCTCATTTTCCTTTCAACACACTCAGCTCATCCCACCGTTGTTGGCATCACATTTGGTTGAATTCTCACGGGGATTCTAATGTTGCGTCAATGGGAAGAATAAACTGATTTGTTCGTAGAACAAACAGCATCTAAATTTACCGGGAATATTTTAGCAGTTTAGACAAAGACCTCCAAGGGCCATAAGGTCCGATAGCTGCTGCGTTGGAAATCCGGGAGGGGAACTAGGTAAACTATGTGGCTCAGTCATCCAATCTACCCAAGCTAGTGAAAGACCGAGGGGAGGGGTCAGAAAGGGTATAAGGACCCCCACATTCTCATTAGATCGCTACTAATTCTCGAGCATGCTTTCTTCAATGGTCTTTCCTGGTAGTGACCCGAACGCTCTCTAGCTAAATTTAGCGCAGTTGTTCTAGGTTCTTACGCGGTCCTTGATATCGAATCTCGTCAAAGACGGGCAAAGTCTCAATCCTCCATACTCGTTTTACTTGGGTAATGGAACGCCTTGGAAAGGTGGGAAAAGACCCGAGCTGGCCACGCATGGGTATAATACCATCACCAGCCGACTGAGATTGGAGCCTTACAGATTCCTCAGCCCATAAAATTGTGCCGGTTTTTGGAGGTTCATTTCTCATATAGTGAATCCTTCCAACTCATGACACTGTAGGAGTTATATTTGCGTTCGCCACATCTCCAGCACTGTCCAAATGAAAAAATAGCAAAGCCTAGACGTCGCCTTGCTTGCTTTTCTCCTTTTTTGTTTTATATCCCTAGTCAAATTTGTTCTCTCATAAGAATCATCCATTCATTCTTTCATCTACATAATCACAGATCACTCCGAACCATCTGTCCTATCGTCCACCATTCCTATGTTAGTCATTTCCGCAACCAATGGCTTTCTCCATAATTTCAGTGTGCTTACCCGCCCTAATCTTTTTACGGAACACCCACACTGTTCCTGTTTGTCCCTCATCTTTCTTTCCATTTATTTAGCCGTCTCTTCACCTGAGCACCATCGCTTTTGTGACATCCCAGTTTCTGACACGCCGTCAGGCAAAACTCAATGAACAAGTTTCCCTGTACCTCGGGATTGACGATTATTGCTTTCCACTTTGGCCTTTCTAAATCTCCTACTTTCCCACTCGTGCAATCCCCCTCTTAAGACGCTCCTATACTTACTCTGATTTTCCTTCCAAAACTTCTAGTACGTCTACACTTCTGACAACAACTGCTATGGGGTGCCGTTTATAGGAGAAATTTTGCATATTCTCCGCGAAACTTAGCAAAAGATAAAAGTCGGTGGAAATCAAGTGACAAGACAAGAATGATAAAGCGTGCGTGGCAACTCCCCATTAAAAGCACAAATAATACAACTCACTTAGCAAAGTACAGGTCTGTTCGTCGTTCTCATGAGCGCATTCGTACAAAGCGAACTTGCGAGGATTGTCGGCAACCCGGAACTTTCGCAGTAACGTGACTATCATCTGCCTGAAATTGTGGTTTGTGGTCATTTTCATAGAAACACCAATACCTTCGTCCTACAAGCCTGTTTCCCAACACGCGAGCTTAGTTTTAGCAGGGTGGGATCAGGGTATATAAAAAAGTAGTAGTAGTAATAAAGAGTGGACAGTGAACTTCTTCTCACTGCTTCAATTTTAATTTGTTAACAAGGTCTTAAGGAGCAAAACCTTCCAAAACCTTTCTGGGCGTTATCGCAGAATACGGGGGCACCCGGTGAACTAAGCCTAGGGAAGGACATCCAGCAAATTCGGGAAAATGAGAATTTCTCGCGCATTTTGAAGTACTTCCTTGCACTTCTAAGCGTAGCCCCATTTTGAACAAAAAACAGATTTTCACGAGGTCCGAGATGCACTGCCACCATAACGCCATTGTATATCGCGATAGCCCCCATTCTATTTCGAAAAGAATCTCATCCCCAAAAAACTGCACTTATTCCGAATGAAAACACTGACGGCCAAAAAGGAGGGCTAGTCTATGGACCCTTGTGAACTCGCATGAAGTGTTAGGGACGAAAAGAGCGCGAAACTCTCGAGAATGACAGCTTTTTTGGCCAAGAACGACTTCGAATTCCTTGAAAACCTTCAGCAGCCTTGAATAAACTGAATCCCTTTCAAGAAAGCCTCAGCAAAGGAAGGGCCAAACCGAAAAGGTTTTAGTCCACTCAGTCGTCATAACTTATGTTAGTGGTAAGCCTAAATTAGTAGATAGGCGACAAAGGGAGAAAACGTGCCAGAAATCCATTACAGCAAGGGAACCATAAGGTACACCCTTTTTACGGGTCAGGTTCAACCGATTCCACTATAAGACCCCATGCCGAATTCATAAAATACGATCCCCTTCAAGTGACGCGCTCGAATGGACCGCCGAACCCGCTATGGTTGTAAAGGGATGAGGAAAACAATAACCCACTAGGGTAGTCATCCCGGCTGGAACATCCATTCTTTGCACTAAACTTGTCCTCTTTCCATACACATAATAAGAACTTGATTAGACATCCTCATGATCCCATCGTTTATTCCTCCTAGTTCCATCTCGTCAAAGGGTAATCCAAGATGTCGAGATGCGCCAAAAACAAGCCCATAATGAACGGATGAAAGGGGCGGGTAGACCTCGCCATTAAGCTGCGTGGGACTTGTTTGAGGAAGCGCTCTTGAACGGCCGCCTCGGCTTCTGCCGTCGTTCTGGAGCATGTGCTCCGGCGCTGTTTTTTGAGATAACTGCCTTATGTGACGTATTGATCCTCTCGTCGTTCGAGTCTACAGAATCGTGGGTGTCGTAGACGTCGGGAATCGATTTACCGCCTCTCGGCTGCTGCACCTTTGGCTGGCCACCTTCACGCTTCATGCTCACCTTGTTGTCATTGTGCTGTTGATGTTGATTGTCTTCACTGTGTTCCTCGGCAGAAAGAATGAGGTGATCGTCCGTAGTGAGGATGTGGTGGATTTGCCTGAAATGATAACGAGTTAATGATAACCTCGAGCCACAGGGAGTTCATTTGGTACTGATTTCTCACGCGTGTGGTTGTGTTCAACGCTTTGCGAGAAGCTCCTCCTCCCTACTTGTTGTCTTACTTACCCTCGTCTTCGCCGTGAATGAAATCTTGAGAAAATGGCTCGAAGAGGCAGTTTAGACTCAATGTTCAGCGAACTACTACAAGAGGTAACCAGTTTCAGTTACTTTTGAGTTCCAACGTCGAATTTTCAGGTGCAAAGTTGTTTAGGTCATCTTGATCTTTGGTCACAGATTAACTAATGCTCACGTTCGGGGCTGAGTATGACAGTGAAAGCGAAGCCGCGAAGCGTGAGCACATCCACCTCGCTGGAGTTCCCCACTCCTGGGCTTAGTGCTTACTGTGACCCGCAGAATCAAAGGTGTAGAAACCTAACTAATTTGCACATCGAATTTCCAATTAAATTGTCACTTTAGTCAAAAGCAGTTTTGCCGCTATTCGCGAAATATCGGCATCCCTTGCACAAAGCTATAATAAGGGTTCGAACATCGGTGACACGAAATTGGCTTACGCAACCTAAAAGGTTTCTCCTTCATTCTCCCAGAGGTTGTCCTGTATCCACTACGAAGGAGATGTTCTGAATGGTTCATAATTCCTTTTCACTACAATGTTCCCGTATCTTGAGATAGCGCCAGCAACTTACTCTTATTCACATGATATCTTCAACGATTTTTCATGAGATTTTCTTGGATGTTTTCCTCAATTTTTCATTTTTACAAAGTCCAGATCTCGGCGCTTTGTTGTTAGGGGGACTGAAGCGAGTGAGCCTTTTACCGAACTTGGGACTAAGCTTTCAGGAGGAGAAGGGAGGACGTGAGCACTAGTGTCACCATCCAGCAGTTTTTAAATGCCCTGTTTCAAATGTTCACCCCCCCCCCTCCTTAAGCCTATGAGAGCCAAATCTCGAACCAGTGTGAAAAGCATGGCGCACTCAAGAACAGCGCCTAGTATAAAAATCGGCTAAGCACCCTATTTCACACAGGCTTTTTCCTTGAAGGCACATTTCAAGATCAAATGGCTAAAAATCCTTTCCCGATGAGGTAGACTGGTCCACCAGCGCAAAGCTTGTACCACGTGGCGTCTCAAGAAGTCCGCAGTGGATTGACTCATGTCGCGTTCGTGATGCAGCTCACAACCATGAGTCTTAGGCCGCGTTCATAGTTCGCGACTCCGGAGATTAGGATAGTACGCGACAATGAAAAACATGTATTGACGGCGAGATTAGGATAGTAGTAGATTAGGATAGTAGTAGATTAGGATAGTGCGCTGACAAGATTAGATATGTATTGATCTATTCGCTTGAAGTCGCCCAATCTACTACTCTCCAGCGATTTCAATCGATACGTATCCAATCTTGTCAGCGCAATCTCCTACTCTACTACTATCCTAATATCCTGTCGCCTACTATCCTAATCTCCCGAGTCGCGAACTATGAACGCGGCCTAAGGAATGAAATCACTTGTCGTGCCTGCGTTTCGCCAGTCTCTGTGCTCTTTCCTACCGCCGCTGTCTGCCTCCTAACTCTGGCGCTCCGTGATAATCTCGCACAATGCTCACCATGAACACTAAAATGAAGGGTTCTATTTAGAACCATCGCGGCAGTCCCTCTCACTTTGTTTTTCACTGGCACATTCTCTTCTCTGCATAGGAACTTTAACTAACAACTTTGAATTTAACTTTGATGGTACCTTCATTACCTACCCTTCTACCCACATTCACAGTCGTAAATAAGTCAGTGATATTCCAAGGACTTCCTCTAGTCCCACCAAAAAGATCAGGAGCCTATTTGTTGTATGCCGCATCCCCCACCCAACAAAAGATTGTGCAGCCGTTCCCTTTTTGAAGGAGGAGGAGGCTCTTAGTCTTGCTTTTGGTTGGGCAAAACTCCCTCCGCTGAGCGCTGCAGTGCTCAACCGGTAGAAGTGCATGCTCTTCAGAGATAAGTGGTTCACTCTCCACCATCCCTATTCTTGAGAATTTTCATCCCTTTTTCCACATAAATAAGCAGGTGTGATTCTTTGCTCGAAAATGCGGACACTTCAAGCGGAGCATGTCACTGGGCGTGGACAGAAACAGGACCTATTGTCACACATGCTGAAGTGCGACCCCGCGACGAAAGTGCAGATGAAAATGTGCAACATCGATGTTGAATCCATAGATTTCGACGACTTTCGACTGCACCGATCTCTTTTCAAACAACTCTTTTCTACTACAAGTGTTTCCTATTGAATTCACCGATCCTATTCACCCTTTACTCCCCCCCCCCCTCTTCAAAAAAATGAGCTGGATTTTTTTCGAAATTTGTAAATGGAGATGAACTTGGCTGAAAAGCGGTCCACGATAGTGCTATCATAGAAAAGGACTACCGTATCCGCTTAGCGCGAAAATACCTTGAGCCCACGCTATAGGCGCCGGCGCTACAACAGTTTCGCTGACACCTCTGACGCAAGCTGCACCCAGTTTTCGACAAACGAATGTGCCTTTCGCCCCCCCCTCCCTTCGAACTACCTCGAGGGCAAGTTTTGAGCGAATTTGATGTCCCACGGTGATTTGGCGCCGGTACCTGTGGCAAAGGCACTAAATGTTCTAGCAGATGTGAGATCCGGATTCTACGAATCAAGCTGCCCCTGTGGGTAACTTTCAGCGAAATCCACCTCTATTTACGAATTTCTAGAAAAATTCAGCTCGATTTCCGGGGCAGTAAATGGGTGCAGGGCAGTAAAATGATATTTATAGCGAAATACCTTCTTACCTTAGCAAATCGTAAACCTCGCGAGCAGTACTTCTTGCTCCCGCCGTTCAAAATACACGTCTCATTTCAGGCAAACGTTTGGGCCAAAAGTGACCGGATAGTCAGCCGTACTGGCGTCATGACCCACGAAAATGGTCGACGGCTAGAGGTTTGTTACCAGTACAGAGTAGTCAGATCATGAAAGCTTGTCACTAGACGAAATGTTCTTACAGAGATCCAGAAATGGAGAGCTCAGCTTGCGCACAGGGTATTTTTCTCAGTAAACAGGGATATCCAATGAGTCCTATAAAAACCCTTACAAAGTCGCTTTGAAGGTGACAGCCATGGGACTAAATCAAGAGTCTCAGCTTCCACCTAGTTTCACCATAAGATAAACATTCAAGCGCTACAATAGGTCCAGACAACTTCCCTCTATTTCGAAAAACGAGAAGAGCGTCGAATGCAGACCACACACCACAAGTGACGACAGCTAAGATAAAAACCCTTTTTTTCTCGCCCGTTTTTTTTTTCTTCAAAGATAGCTGTAAATGCCCCTGCGTCCAATCGCTAATCGCTCCGTGATGAGCTTTAAGGACCAACACCTAAAATGATTGCTTTCCACAGAGGACCGCGCTACACCCGCCGCTGAGCGCGACTTCACATAGAATACCGTTTCCGCCGAATCGCTTCAATTCAGGAGTCTCAACCAAGTCCTGTCCATTGCAGGCTGAGCATCCCAGTAGAGGTTGAAACATCCTATTGAATGCACCAAGTCCTACCCTCAGGAACGAATCCAGCCATGACATACATATCGATTTGTTAGCGCCACCCATTGAGCCATCGCGTACTCGGCTAATCGATACATATTTTTCTTCTTGTCTATTCGCTTAGTCGCATATACTATCGCGAACTCTGAACGCTGGCTTACTCCAACAAACCCGCCTCAATTATTTTCTTGTGCCC